TACAGCTTTTTAATTATTGATAATGTAGCTACTGAATAGTTATATTACTATTACAGTAATATTAATGACATGCTTTGGAAATTGGGATTAGAGCAGTAACAAAACAAAATGGAATTTTGTCATGCATGATGACATTTTCACACTTTTATGACAATACAGGTTTACTTCTTCTTTTAAGCAAAGAAACTCTACTATATCATTCACCACTATAGTGTTCAGAAAATACTAAAAATGTCACTAATAATCACTATTTTATAATACAATAATAATAATAAAAAGAGCAATTCCATATATATGCTGCTCAATTTCATTATATATACATGTGTCTATACATATATATATATAGATATATATATACACACACACTGAACTGCTTACCTAAAATAGTTTTAGCTCTGTAGTATAGTCAACTGTAATGCAGCTATTCTCTGTTTTTCAAAAACCACATATGGTAGTTATGCTATATTCAATCAAATCGCTATGGACTTACAGACATTGAAAGGCACAAAAAGCAATTTAGATAATCAGAGACATGAAAGCCTCCTACCGATTTTCTGCAGCATACTTCCATAATAGGCTCCTTAATAGATATCTGACACAATACGTGGTAAATGTCACTAATAATCACTATTTTATAATACAATAATAATAATAAAAAGAGCAATTCCATATATATGCTGCTCAATTTCATTATATATACATGTGTCTATACATATATATATACATATATATATAGACACACACACACACACATGTATATATGGTGGCAGTAAACTGCATGGGAGGACCCTAGCACAATACGTGTGTGTGCATGCATGTGCGTGCGCTCACACACACACACACACACACACACACACACACACACAGAGAGAGAGAGAGAGAGAGAGAGAGAGAGAGAGAGAGAGAGAGAGAGAGAGAGAGAGAGAGAGAGAGAGAGAGAGAGAGAGAGAGAGAGAGAGAGAGAGAGAGAGAGAGAGAGAGAGAGAGAGAGAGAGAGAGAGAGAGTAAGTATGTATATGTGGTCTGCTGCTCACACCACTCTGATAACCAGCCCAGTGATCGATCTCTCCAAGAACATCCTCTTGTTAAATCCATCAAACTCGCAGTTTCCACCTGTGAGTAGAATCATCCCATCCATAACTCGGCTGACGAGTTAGTTTGGCACTCTCCTCATGGCAATGGATGCCATTTCTCCCACTTCTGCCTGATCTACAGGCTGGATGAATATCTCTGAATCGTTCCACACCAAGTACTATTTGGTAGTCCTTCTCAGTAAGAGGCCGTTGTATTACAAACTCTGGCACTATTTCCTGCAGTCCGGGTGGTGGCGCTGAAGTATATGAAAGATCAATTTCCTGGAAGTAAAGCAGTTAGAAAGGGAAAAGAAAAGTAGTTCTTCAAGTATTCCGCCTCATTTTCTAAATCAATAAGCTTTGAGGATAGTTTTGCTGCTGCCATTTCTTGAAGCTGCTAGCCCTGTTTTTCTCTCAAAGCTGCCAGTTCATCCTCCCCAGGCTGCTCTTTTTCAGGTGGCAGTATCCATGGCACCTGCCACCATCTCGTTTTCACTAATGCCTAGGGAGATTATAACTGATGAAATAAATTGCTACAACATTGACACACCGAACTGCTTACCTAAAATAGTTTTCTAGAGGAGTATATGTAAAGCTAACGGAGAAAGCATTAAAACAAATGGAAGAAGAGTATCGCTTGTACATCTTTTACATCTTTTTCTTTCTAAATATTTACAACTCGGAGAAGTATCTAGAGGAGTTGAAGGCCAGGCATTGTGAAGTTTCAACCAAGGTATTAGTGGTTCTGGAGTTGTTTGTTTGTGATGGTTTTGCCATAAGCCTCTCCACGGTGCTTAAGTTGTGTGGGAGCCTGGTGGATGTGTGGCTTAGAGAAGGAGAGGGTCACTCCCAGGCGTGTAGAAAACAATGCTGCCGTGTCAAACTCAGTAAAAGTTTTTGGAATCTGACTTTGTTCTTATGTCAGGATTTCAGGATAAATACAACACAGAGAATAGGCCTTGGCCTTGCTTTAGAGGGCTTCACTAATAAGATCTACGAGGCATAGAACATAGTTAAATTCATCACATTTGTTCCTGTTATTTTCAACTGCAAATGTGTTGTCCCATCAAGCCAGATGACTACTCAGATTCTTCTCAGATAATTCAAATTCTCTGCTTGAGAAAGTTGTGATCACAACAAACAAGTACTTCAAGCCACCTGGATTGCTGTTAAGATTGGATCGTGAGTTAAAAGCTCTTGGATAGATTTCTTTCGCCATTTTTTGCCGGTCTACACAACTTTAGTCACATGTAAGTTCATTGGCTACCTCATTGTCAATGCCACTTTGTTTCAGTGCGCCAGATAATACTAAGATACATGCAACTTAGGGAAGGTTAGTATGACACATGTCTTGGAGCTTCCTCTTCATAGTGGCCTCCCATGCCTCACTTCCATCATCAATAGTACGTGATGAGTGAGAACGAACGAAATGCCTTTAAAAGAATAAAAGAATAGACAGATTTACATAACATATAATATGTATAAAATGAGCATCTCTAGCAAATTTCTCCAGTTGTACCTTGAAGCATTGTCTGCTGGTACCGGAACTAAGTGACTTGTGCAACCTTTCTGAGCCACCCAACTTCGACAACACTTGGGCCATAACAATCCTCTTCTAATGTTTTCTGATCAGACAAGTTGCATCAAAGAACTTCTTAATTTCATGATTGGAGTTTAGACTATGACCCTTTACAGGAGTAGTGACAACATAAGTAAGTGAAGGTTTTTTTTTCTAGATTCTTGAGAGTCCAGAGCTGGTTGCCAGAATCTGGTAATTGAACTTATAGATGTATACTCTTTCTCTTGGTTTTGAAGGTATTCTTAATCAACTTAGTTGCAAAGACTAATGAAGAGCTCATTGAATTGCTAAAAGACTTACTGGTGGTGGGGAGAATGCAAAGAGAAACTCTCCCATTCTTTTTTGACAAATTGTCAACTACCAACCTTAGAAAAGGATAATCCCAGGATCTTTGCCAATAATTTCTTCCCCTCTTTGACACGGCTAGAGTGGATGCAAGTGCTGAAGCTGCATTTTGCACCTGCAAAGTTTCTGTGACCAACTTGTAGCATTAAAAGCTGTAAATGACTATTCAATTCCACTCCTTTAACATGGCTCTCTCTTTTCTTTTTTTTTTTAAACAAAACAAAAAGGCTACCTAAGACGCCACCAAGTCTCATTACTGGGAGAACCACCAAGTCTCATTATAGGGAAAAACATCATAAGTCATTGTTCTATTATTTCTTGGCCGTGAGCTGGCTCCATGACCTTGAAACGCAGTTGAGTAGGCCACATTGTTGGCGATGAGCTTTTTTTGACGCAATGAAGCGTTTCACTCAGCACAGCAGCGATCACCGATCAACCCAGGAGAGTTGCTCCTGGAACGCTTGGTAACTATGCCTTCTAGCTGGAGCGACATATCAAGCTTCCACTAGAGTAGACAGAGGAGCTTACCGATTCCGTGGAGGGCTTTGGCTGTTATGGGAATATTCACTCAGAGCAAGATTTAACACTATAAAAGACTCTACTAATGAAAGAAAGTTTGCAATTTCATATCAATTTTTCAGCATGCGGATTTACACAGATTTTTAAGAGAAAAGGTGAATCCTTGCCACAAGAACTAAGGGTTTAGATCGATCACCCAGCAAAATGCTGCCACCAGCATGGTTATATGTGAGATGGCGAGTGGGAGTACCTTTGGAGTGGATGCCAGGGAAGGCATGTACTGCCCTAGAAAGCACACTAATAGAACTTGTCACTCAGGAGTTTGATCACAGTGAATGAAACAACAAAAATAAGAATATATCCCAATTGGAACCAGTACATCCTTTCATCCTGAGACTTTGACTAAGACTTTCCCCTACCATTTTACCAACTTTCAACTAACCTCTCGTCACTGTTTCTCGAGCTCTTGACACAATAGACCGCACCCCTGAAGGAACTCTATGAACATGTCCTCCACCTGTAACTATTGAAACAAATATCCATCGATCGTCATCTGTGGTGGAAAACGCAAAGTCCGTAGTACAGGCTGTGGCTTCCACCATCCGAAGTTCCAATGAGGCATAGATAGCAAAAACTGCATCCAGCGTTGCCTAAACAGACCAAACAAGTTATAAGTCAATGCGAAACAAAGTACAAAGCGTTCATTTACACACCTGTATCAAAGTCCACCATCCCGACTCGCTGCGTAGCTCCTCTAACACAGCCAAAGTTGGGAATGATGATAAGAGATGACATTTTCTCCCCAGTGGCTACACCACCAAAGGTGATCTTGTTTGGATCCCGACTGGCACGACGAATCCGCATTCTCCGGTCTAGGCATTCTCCAAGAGCTTCCTCAAAAAGGTTCCCATGCTGCTTATACTCGTAAACAATCTGCCCATGAACGTTGGCTATTGCTGGTGTTATGTGTAGCAGCCCCATGTCATGTCTACACGATAAGACGTCCGGAAGAGTGACCACTCCAGCCTTATCGTGAACGCGTAAGTTTTTGAGGAAGATCTTGCAACGCTTGGTAAGCTTGCTTGCTTCTGGCCTTACCCCGTGGATGGTTTCCAAGAGAGCTGCGGTGATAAGCTTGATAAACCTGCCTCCTGCGTCATTCTTCCGAAGATCTTGGAACCGTTGCTCAAAGGACTGGCAAATGCTGCCCAACTGAGGGTGTCGGGCAGCAAGAACAAGCGTCCACAATCAGCCCTTCCCTAAGGTACTCTAGGTACAAAGAGTGGTATGACATCACGCCTAACATCCAGGTATCTTGTTTTGCATATCGGCAGCACATGACAAAATTGTCAAAACCTCTTTTAATGCTCCGAGGAATCAAACATTACCTTTAAAAGCAGCTACCTCAAACGCTATGGCATTGGTAAACCCATGTTGCTCTAAGCTCTAGTTCCTCAGCTAGCCGCACACTGCATCCTTCCACGTAAATTAATAATATACCCTTGGATTGTAACCGTCAATCAAAGTCAAAGAAAGTCAAACAAAATCAACGTAACTCCTGTGCTGCTAGAGGAGCTCAAGAGGAATAAGCAGTTCTGATTTCGTCTATCCGTATTTCATGCCCAAAACTTCGGTTCTAACTGCCTTCCTCTTCGTCTTCGTTGTCTTGTGGAGCATTGAAAAGGTCGGTGTTCTCGGGGAACACGAGACCAACGTCCGAGTTTAAGATCGACGGAACCACCACTGGGAAGTCTCGTATCCGTCCGTAAGATGGCCCAGCCTCGAGCGCTTCTGGTTCAATCCCGATGAACGAAGCTCGTCCAACAAGTCCGGGACCGGTGATGGTTATCACGCTGTCACCTTCGTCAGCAAACTTCACCACCGGACGAGACCGAGGTGGAGATGCCCGAGGAGGGGAAGCTGCCGCTGATGCTACTTCTCCTAGATTGCTATCCGGTCCAAACTTCACAGTGGGCCGAGGCTTAGCGTCCGCTGGTTTTGGAGCCTTCTCACTGACTTCCACGACTTGAGGAGCTATGGATATCGAACGACGCTCGGAGATCTTTGGTGGTGTTGCTGCCGGAGCTCCCGTAGTTGCTGCCACTGCTGTGCTGCTGCTACTACTAGCCGCGACATCTGGAGTGTTTGGCCTGCTTCGAGGAGGAGTAACACTCTGCTTGCCTGGCGCCGACGAAGTTCCTGCGGCTGCTGCTGCCAAAGCTGCTGCTTCCGACGGTCTCAAAGGCCTCACAGACTTGGCTCGAGGAATAGTCCCTTTGACGTAAGCTAAAACGTTGGGCCGGCTGTATGGAGGATTGAAACCAGGTGGAAGCTCTGGAGCCGACGTTGGAACTAGCTGAGTGCTGTTGGCGTCGTGTTTTATGTGAGAAGCCGGCGGCCTCGTTTCGGGTCCAAAGTGTGAAGTAAAGATCGGATCCACTTTCTGGACTCGTTGGCGCATCGACTCAATGCTAGTCGATTGATCCCCAGCAGCAGCAGCAGCAGTAGCTGTAGCAGCATCGCCTTCCTCCACCACATCAGCGATTGTTCTTCCAGTGACCACAGATCCCAGCATGTTTGGATTCTCGTAGAAGTGAGTTCTTTTCCTTAGAACTGGAGCCAAGCTCAACGGAGAGCCACCACCCGCGGGAGTAACTTGCCAGCCTCGAGAAGGACTTCTTGTCAGCTGATACGGTCGCTGCTGCTCCGGAAAGAGCTTTGGCCTCGGACCACCTTGCTGCTGCTGCTGCTTCGCTGATCCTCCTCCTGAAGATTTTCGTGATGTTTGCGGTGGTATGGCTATGGCCGACTGTCTCCGGGATGATCTTCTTCCTAACGAGTCCACTGAGGCTCGAGGTTGGACAACTGTGAATCTTCGGTGAAACTCTTCTTCTGTCTCATGCTCCTCGTCGCTGTCGTCGTCGGATTTGGAGGCTCGAGCAAGCAACTCCAGTGTTGCTTGTTCGTCATCAAGGACAGGAGCTTTGACGTAGAACATGTCTTCGTAAATGCTCGAATCCACGTTAAATGAGAACCGTGGTGCTTTGGCACGTATCTGTAGGACAACAGCAGCGCACGATACATCCTTGGTCACTAGAAATTATTTTACCTTTGCATGGTGCTCTTCTATCAAGTCAAGCACCTGGCGGACAAAACTGACCAGGAGAATCCGGCACTCTTTCGTTAGCTACACGAGGACTATATAAGTGTGGATGCACGGAAAGGAAACGATCCTTGCTTACATCTTGTAGACCGTCACCTTGGAAGAGGCTCCCTTTCTTAAAGAGAAGACGATAGATCTCATCCGAGTAGCGAACTTCGTCCTGGAGCCTAGTAAGCGTTGGATAATCATCGTTGGGTTCTCTCCCTAGAAAATGATGACAAACAAAGCACTTCGGTGACTGGAAACTCTTCCAGAACAGATTTTAGTTACCTGGATCAGTCAAAGACATTATATCCCAGAGAATCAACTGCTGCAACACTGCGCTCTCCTGCCTGTCCGCTTCAATCGACACAGCTTCGATCTCCTTTTTCAGATCAGCCATCTCGGCATTAGCTCGTAGTAGCTCCAGCTATTCCAGCTAGTATCTGACCCGAGTTAGAAAAACGAAAAACAAAAAGGCTGATGCAGAGGTTTCTGGATTACCTGAAGTGCCTGAGCTTCCTCGCCATGAAGAGAAGCAAAGAGGCGCTTCTCGGAAGGAGATAGCGCTAACAATCCCCGGATCTCTCCAACAACAGCGCGAGCGCAGCGAAGATCTCCTGGACAGGAGAGAAACAAAAAAGCAAGGTTTAGCTCTAGAAAAGTTTGCGTTCCTTTACCTTGTAGCTCTTCTCTACTCTCGGCAGCGAGAACCAGCTTCTCTGTCCATTCTTCCTACAAAAAAGAAGAACAAGAAGAAGAGAGCTTGAGCAATCAAGTTTGATAAATACATACGCACCAGATTATCACGGGACGAGGCTGCTAGAATGTAAGTCTCGGTCTTGGAAAATCCAACGTGTTGTGTGCCGATGTTAAGATAAAAAACATATCTTCGCAGCTTGCCTCCAACATCCGCGGACTCTTTGATCGTGCAGCCCTCGATTGGAATAAGTCCCAGAGGAGTTTCTGTCTAAACGAAACAAATGAAACAAAAACAGTGGCGATGGTCATTTCTATCGAAACTTGGATTACCTGTTGCTCGCTTATAAAGTAGAAGAGAAAATATCCCTGTAAGACGAAGTAGCGGCGTTTCCACGATGTAAACCGCCCTCCGCGCTTCTCCAGGTAGCCAGCAATCTCTGGATCGCCCCACAAAACTCTCTAGGATAGAATGCGCGTGTTGTTAGATCGATGATTTGGGCGAGAATCCTGTTGCTTACCTGGTTTTGCATCCCCGACAAGGTAGTGGTCACGGATTCCCTGGGCAATCCTTCCTTGGCAGCGGTTTCTCGCTTCCCAGCCTCTTCCTTGCCCGCCATTTTGCTTCAAGCTTAGTAGACCTAGGGCTTGCAAGAAGAATATCCTCAATGTTTGTTTAAACTTCAAAATTTGATTGCACAAAAGTGAATTTAAACTTTGTAAGAAATAACTCTTAACATTTATGTCATTCATATTTATAGCAAGTATTTCTTGTGGATATGAGATTATATTTTATTCTAACTTTTAATTTACCTTTTTTAGCATATATTTAACATTAATAGTTTTAGCATGATTAATGAGAAAAAATTATGCATATGCAACCTTTGTTCATCTATATCTATTGTTATAAAATAATTTTTTATATCATGGACTCAATCTTCCAAAAGTTAATATTTCCATATATTTTTTAACTTGGGTGGTTTATAGTGTATAAACTTTAAAATTCATGCAATTGAAAGCAATTGTAAAACTTTATTATCTTCAAAACTTGAAAAAGGATTTAGTTAATTAAGTTTAATTACCTTAACTCCTTTATTACTTTTTTTTTGTTTTCTTTATTTAATTTGTGAACTTCTTTTGGTAAATTCTTAATCTTAATATCTTGAATTGTGGTATAGCCTCAAGCCCAATCTTTTAACATGGTTTCAGCCTCTTTCATAGCATCTTTAATATAAATTTCCTCCCTTTAATTTATCATTAATATAATTTTATTATGCCATCCAACCAATTGCGTGCATGCCTTTATCAATAAATAAAATATTTTTATCAAATGGTATAATCTTACATATGTCGATTCAAAGTTTTTAGTAAAGTTTTTGTGTATATAATAAAAGTTGAATATAAATTACTGAGACAATCCCTTTAATACCAAATATAATATACATAAATTTGGAGTCAAACCTCAAGGGCATTGTACTATAGAACAATCTGGTATACACTAAAATGCCCTATAAACACCAAACTCCATATATTTAGCCTTTTTACATAAAATATTATTAAATAAAATTTAGCAAAATTTTAATATACTAGTGGTCTAATGCAAGAAGATGGTTACCCCAACTTGGGTTTATGAATATATAATAAAAAGCAACATAACCTAATAGAAACCAAATTAAGGTCAATCATGCTTTTAACCACTATTCTATTTTAAATTTTGAACTCCTCTCAATTGGCCCATGAAGGAGTTTGTCTAACTAAGTTAAGTATGCTTGACTAATAATATTTAAGAATTCCATTCTTATACTCTTCTGATTAAAGACTAATTTTTCAACTAATTTGGATAGAGACTAACAAAGGAACTGGTAATATCAACCTTTTACCATCATTGAAGTAAAATGAGAATCTAAAAAATGACTAATATCTTTTGATATTTAAAATCACATTTGCGACAATTTACGTGGAGAGGAAAAGGTTCTAGTCACTTTACAACAAAATTTCTGCATTACAATATGTTAGAATTAGCAAAAGAAAGCAATAAAGCATAGAATTCTTATCATAAACATATAATTCTTGAAAATTCAGTATAAGTAGTGTCTTTAAACATGATCACTCTAGATAAGCTAGCTTTTGAAGAGTATATAAGATAATGTGCTTTTCTCAAGGATTTTTTAGGCTGCATTACAATAACAATAACATAATCTCTTCTACACTTCTTCTTTGTACTATGATAGCTTTTCCTCCACAATAAGGTAACAGAAAAATTTATAACTCCACTTTCATAACTTTGTTTTTGTTTTTGGTTTTTCTTTTTCCCAGAATTATATGAGCTCAACAAAAGGGTGTATGTTATTTCCGTGGGATTGAGTGTGTGTGAGTCGCGGTGCTACTGAGACTTGGATTCTGATTTGGGTAAAGCATGAGCTTCACCGTCTATCTGTGTCTCTCAGGCGTATTTACATGTCCTACTGAGACCAGCATGGACCCTCGACAACTACGACTTAACAGTCCAGTTTGAATTGGACGATGACGCGCTTACCAAGACTATCATTGGCACCATTGGAGATGTTAATTCATATCAGCATCCAGATGCAAAAGGTTACTCGATGTGTGCTGCGCAAACTACATCTTTCAGCATTTCCTTCCCTTGTCTCTCGTCCATTCCAGTATGCTCTGCTAAATTCTACGAACAAAAGAAGGAGAAGGGAGCAAATCCTATCAACAAGGTGCGTCATCACTCTACTCTTACTGAATCTAGGAAACTAAAACAAAGATGGTGTTATTTGTTTCTGAGTAAGTTTCTCCAAGTGTTCGTCCACACACCGCCCTCGATTCGAAATCCTCCCACTGGCTTTCCAGCCTCGAGAACTCTTTTGGTGTTCATCATGGGCCAGCTCCACACCAGGACGTGAGCAAAGCAACCTGGGAAGAACTCTAGGATCTCAGAAACTTGCCATGATCTTAAAATCATGTTTTCTTCCATCCGTTAGAAAAGTAGACTACACAAAAACTAAACTTTGATGTACCAGGAGTCTTTCAAATTGAAGCTTGTGCACTAGATGATGGCAGCTCCCTTCTCACAAAAGCAATCTCATTCAAATACTAAAGAAACTTTCAGTATTTTACCTTGATTGACAGGCTGATTACCAATATTCTATTGACCACATCCACGACATTCTTTTCTTACCGTCTTATCGTTGGGAATTCCAGAGACAATAAGCTATCGAAAGAACGCAGAGAAAAAATCTAAAGGATCATTTGGACAGTCCCGGGAGGAGGAGACTCTGATTTCAATCGCATGCAGCCACGGATGGAACTGTGATGGAAAGTCTTTGTCAGGAATCGTTTTCATGGGTGCAAAATGGAAATGGACGTCTTTACTGCGAAAAGAGGAAGAAATGTTTCAATCCTCTTCGCCTTGACCTTCCTAGTTCTTGTACTTTGAACTCCTTTTCGAGGCTGTCCTGGTCCTGACCAGATGCTCAGGTGTAAGCCAGAGCAACGAATCGCCGCGACTCATGTTACGTAGCATCTTGATAAAGTCCTGCCCGGGCAGATTGATCCACTGCGTAGAAAAGCTAAACAATTCAGATGTCTTTCCAGAAGAACTTCGATGCTCTAAACGTTATTACGATCGTACCTGGGGCATCTCGTGCACGTAGTCCGAGTAGGGGAAGTTTGGACAGTTTTCACCCCGGAACTTGATGTAAGCTCGGTCATAGATCCTGTGATTAAACATTTTATCAAAAATCTTTCTAGAAAAGAAAGGAAACAAACCTGGCTGCGGCTTCCGGGGTGCTGGATGACCCGATGTATATCTGTTTGTTCTTGTCGACAGCCCTGATGGTTATGGAAAAAAGAAATCAGCGTGATTGTTTAAGAACTCACTACTCTTTGAGAAAACGAGAAAACGAAGAAGAACATACTCACCAAATGTGCGCCTCCCACCGCTCGACTCGCTTGTAGAACGAGACTCCAACGTAGCTGGACGACTTTGCAGTGTATCTCCTAGCGGACTTTGGGGGGGTTCTTTTCCTTTTGCTCGCTTCCTCTTCCAATCCCTTCGGAGCAACTGCGGTCTTCTTCTTAGAACACTTAGAGCTCGAGCTGTGAGACGAAGGCTTGATCGTGGTAGTTCTCTCAGTCGCAGAGCTCGAGCTGGACCTCTTCCTCCTCGAAGAAGAGGACGTAGTGCACATCCCCGGGGTGGCCCAAGTGGCCATGGAGAAGGGCTTCTTCTCCTCTTTGATTACCAGATGATCATCATCAGCCCGCTCACCATTGCCGTCGGTGGAAAACCAAAAGCTTGCCGGTTCCTCACTGCCACCTTCTTTATTCTCGGATTCAGGAGCCAGTGATGAAGAGGGAGAGCTTTGAGACTCCACTGTTGCCATCGCTGGTGAGAGCGGTGCTAGACGACGTCGCTTTGTTCTTGGCGCCCTCACCACTGCTGGAGCTACCGGGGGCAATATAAATGCGGCTGCATGAGCACGAGAAGGAGCTGCTGGAGGGTCTAGCAGTGGATCATGCTCAGCTCCATCCATAGCTGCCAGGAGGCCGGGATCAACTGGAGGGACTTCCAGAACTTTTTGAGCTCGAGCTGAAAGAAGATGGTGTGACGGCCAAGGAGAGCTTCTAGCTTTGCGTGATGTCGAACGCCGGCAGCGCGTGCCCTTGACAGTGGTATCTTGACACCGGAATCCCATTGCAAGAACTTGCACAGCCAGAAGCTCCATCGACGAGCAGGGCGAGAGCAAAACATCGGTTGGAGAGGGGCGGCGACTGGGTTGCGTCTGCAGCAGGGCGGCAGTTTCAGCTGCTACCGTGACCGATCGAAAAGGATTGACGCGAGGCATGATCTAGCAAAACAAGTC